CTCTTCCTTTTTCTTTCACAAAGCCTGTTTCCAAGAACTGCCTTTTCTTTCCAGATTTTTATGAGAACTTTTTTTCTCCTCCAAGCTGCTCTTTTGTTATATTTACAACTGACCAGCAAATAAAAAGCTTTTTGTAAAATCTTAAATCTCTTAAATTACCAACACTGTGCAAACTTCAGGATAGCTTCAGCTCTAAAAAATCTGTAAGATCTTCTTAGGGAGCAGCAGCTGCATCTATGCAGTGAATCAAAGCCTCACAGATGCATTAAATCAGCGGTTCCTAATCCTGATCCTCAGGGACCAAAGCTCTGCATGTTTTAGACGTTTCTCTGTCACAAAAGAACTGATTCAAGTGATGACATGACCTCCTCATCAGCCATCAAGTGCTGCATTCATTCAAATTAGAAATGTGTGTGTGGCAGCAAGGAAACACGTAAACATGGGTCCTTGAGGATCAGTATTAGATGATTTAGTTGATAGATATTATTTCATCAGAAAACTTTCTCTGCAACGCTTCTGCATGATGAAGTTCAAAGAGACTACAGGCCAACAAAGAACTGGTTCCAACAACTGGACTCTGAGGAATACCAGGCTGAGAGTTACAGCTTTTTTAAAAACAAACTTGGAGCTATTTGACTGGTTTATGCTTTCCTGGTGCTGATAACACCAAGGTCACAGGCTGAGGTGCAGGGTGCTAATGTTAGCAATCAGGGAGTGTACTAGAGAGGCCCTTAGACCCCCGGTTCAACCTCTGGGTCCCTGAGTAAGACCCTAAGCCCACAATGCTCCCTGCCCAGGGGCTCCAAGCTGCTTACTGATGTAGAGGCTCAATGCAGAGAACCAATGTGGTTTTCATGTACAATTACAATAAAAATAAAGGTTATAATTATAATTCTATCATTAAAATAGCATCATAGAATAAAGTCACCAGCAGAATCAAAGGTTTCGCAAAGCAATCGGTTTATGCATCTGTTTTCCACTTTGCTGAAGTGTTGAACAGTAGAACAGTTTGTAGAAACAGCTGAAAGATGCAGACCTTCCAAAGTTGCATCTTGTTCATGCAGATCTAGGAGCTTCTAAAGAGGAGGTGCTGGAAGGAAACCTCTGTGTGCCTGAAGGGGACTTCTACTGGAAGACTCACAATTAGTGCAAAGAAACTAATTTCAGACGTTTTTCTATTTACTTAAAAATTAAAAGAAAGGTTTTGTTGGATCTTATTTAATGTTAGCATAAACTTTCTGAAAAGATTCACTACAAATACAGTGAAAGGAGAGTTTTTAAGGAACGGGAAGTAAAACTGAAAGCAACCAGACGAGGGAAAACACCATCCGCAGTATTAACCCTTTAGACCTAATAAAGACCACAAGGTTCAAATCTAAGGATAAAATCCTTATTTCATGGAAATGAGACATCGGGTCTGAAATCAGACACATTATTCTGTAGTTTTAGACACATAGAAACAAAAATATGTAGAGAAAAAGTTTAGAGAATTTTATATCATTGATATTAGTTAAATTAATATAAAACTGCTGTGACAGACAATATTTCCATCAGTTTTTAACCCATTTTTGTTCGTGTTCCAGCAGGAGAGTGTGGTGAATTTTTTTTTAATATACTATTATTTTAATCCTGTTTTCCTGAAGATGCTTTGCGTTATCCATATTGTTTTAAGAGATGCACGCTGCCCTTTGACATAGTTTTAAGTCTTATCCTACTGACTGTGTTTAAGGACTTGGAGTCAGAGGAGATTGAGCCTAATGTTGATAACAGACTAGTTTAGGCTAGAAACAACTTACCGCCTCCCCCTCCTCTGTGATGATTCACATTTTCTGCACACCTTCCTTCAGCACTTTTTGCCTCTCAGAGCAGGAACCTTTAAACTCTTTATGCCTTTGAATAAATTTGCAAAGACAAAGATCGATCTTCTCTATTTAACTAAGTGGTGGTCTCTCCCTCTTTGATACCGTTGTTGGAAAATTTAGATTTCTCTTTTAATTATATATTAATTTATCCTATTTACTCACTATAAAGGTTTTCACTCAGTCTGTTTCACCTTGAAGGCCACACCATTCTCTGCAGGATGGTGTTTGTAGACCAGATATAGCTTCTTCCCATAACAAACCAGAATCTTTCTCAAGGTTTATTTATAACATGTTACTGTTTAACCAAAGTGTCTGTAATTTGTTTTGCCTCTGACCGCTTTCCATTGTTGTAAGTAAGGAGGAACGAACGCTGCTCATGCAGAACAGGGCAGAATGCTGTGCCATTAGGCCTGTATGATGAACTGTTCTCTCTTTGCAAAGATATGAATAAATGTGGCGACTGAGTGAAATCCATCGATCTCCGTTTTATTTAACTAGGGTGAATAGTAGATTACTTTTTCTCCCACGACAATAAATAAAAATTCCACAACAAGAGAAAAGAATAAAGAATCATTACTATCATCATGGAAACATAATGCAATATTTTTTAGATCCCTTAGATCAGAATGCACTTAGATAGAAAACAGACAGAAAGATAAAAACATGAACATTTTAAGACACTTCAGAAGGAAAAGTGGAGCACTTACAGCAGCTGGAAAACATCTCNGATTACTTTTTCTCCCACGACAATAAATAAAAATTCCACAACAAGAGAAAAGAATAAAGAATCATTACTATCATCATGGAAACATAATGCAATATTTTTTAGATCCCTTAGATCAGAATGCACTTAGATAGAAAACAGACAGAAAGATAAAAACATGAACATTTTAAGACACTTCAGAAGGAAAAGTGGAGCACTTACAGCAGCTGGAAAACATCTCAAAACACAAGCAGGAAATTATGTATTCAGTTTTTATTTGGGAGGCACCAAATTAATATATATAAATAATTTGTTTTTAGACATTAAATGATGAGCAGAGGAGCAAACCTGGTCTTTGTGCTGAACTGTGGGACAGCAGTGAACATTTAAATAATCTCCTCCTCTATGATGCTCTAGGGACAGTCCTATTTAGCCCACATGTTAGTAAATGTGTGAGCAGGTTTGAATCTGAACCTGACCTTGACTACCACTAGGTGGGGTTGCAGCACATGCTAATGTAGCATCATCTGCTCTGTGGGTTTTAGTTCTACTTTAGCAGATTTCTTCTTGATACCTTCCTGTTTTCTCTGTTTTGTATGAAGCTTTTCTTTTGAGCTCTTCTAGATAGATTTTGGGTCTCAAACATAAAATCTATGCTGGACTGTAACATCATTCCATCATTTCATTGGTTATGGTTTTTTAAACATTTTTATTTCTTCTTCTATGTGTACATAGTACTTTAGTTTAACTGATTTTCACTTATTATTATTATATACTTATATTAGACGTTTTTGTTAATAAATGCTTATATTTTGAATGGAAATAGTTGTGAATTTATTCCATACGTCTGCAGAGTTAACTGTTTGACCTTGATTTAATTCCTGGATGTAGGGTTTCCACCTTTCAGAAATGGAAATAAGGGATGTGGGGGTCCTAGAGAAACCTCATTGTCGCAGGGGGGCTGCGGGTCCTCCGTCAGGAAAATTCAATTTCCTAGATCCAATTTCCTGCATTTTAACCAAATTGTGTCCTGTTTCAGCTTAACACAGAACCATACTTTTATTTTGTTCTTTGAGCGTTGCTTGTATTTCTTGCAATAAGCTACAGCCAATTAAAATAATTAATAAATGGAAATTTATTAATATCATTTTTTTATCATGTTTTCACAATATCATCGCGCACAGCAATGGTAAATGGCCTGTACTTATATAGAGCCTTTTTTCAAGTCAGGAGACTTGACCAAAGCGCCTTACGCTACATTCAGTCATTCACCCATTCACACACTAATGGTGGCAAGCTACATTGTAGCCACAGCTGCCCTGGGGCTCACTGACGAAAGCGGGGCTGCTGTACACTGGCGCCACCGGGCCCTCTGACCACCATCAGTAGACAATGCAGGTGACGTGTCTTGCCCAAGGACACAACAACACTGAAAGTCGGAGTCGGGGCTTGAACCATCAATACTTCGATTTCAGGGCAAACTCCTACATCCGACTCCACTGTCGCCCACACACAGAAATCCCCTCACAAAAGCAATGGCGTCTTGGCCTGGTAGAATTTTTTAAAGATTATATTAATGTGTTTGTTTTGCTTATTTTTGGTTTATTTTGGTTGTTAGTTACCCAGATTATTAAATGACTACAACTGTTGTGCTATACTATTCCTGAGCAGGTCAGCTGGGCTCTTGTAATGAATAAGTTTGGCATGCGCAGGTGCACAGTTGTAGAACTAGAACTAAACATGAGGACTGTCACAAGGAAACCATGACGAACTCGCCAAGAAGATAGATTACCGAGTGGAGAATGCTTTAGACAGACGTCATGGGGGGTGAATCAAGAACAGTAGAACTCTAAGCTCAAAGATAGGAGAGGGAGGGAGAGAGAATCAGGACACGTGGACATGGGTCTCACTCGCAATAGAAGAGTTGTTCTATGCTTTTTTTATTATTTGTGAAAATACAGAACAAATAGTGTCCTTTATCAGCTCAATACAGGACAAGTAATTTAACTTCCAAATACGGAATGATTCCGTATTTCAAGGGACGGGAGGAAACCTTACCTGGATCACACTTTTTCTGCAAACACGCAGCCAGTTGGGTATATGTTCACAGATATCACGTTACAGTCCAAAGGTTAGTTGATTAAATAGCAAAAGTCACGGCGTACTTTGTCGTTGCACAATCCAAGTACAGAGGCCTTAGTCCTTGACCTGGCTGACCTGGGTTAGATTTTGGACTGTGTTCCTTTGCAGAAAGTCTATCCCCTCTCTCATATCCCCTCTCCTGTCAGCCCACAGTATAAAAACATGAGCCACTAGTGCATCAAAACGTTACAACAGGCAGGATTAATACTGCTGATGGTGTTTTCTTTTATCTGGTTGGTGTCAGTTTCAGTTGCCATTCTGGAAAAAACTTTACTTTCATTGATTACCTCAAACTCTTCAGTATTTGTAATGAAGTTATGCTAACAATAAACACAATCTAAGAAAACCTTTTTATTCTGTGTTGTAAATAGAAAAACGTTTGCAATTACTTTCTCTGTACTAACTGCGGGTCTTCCAGTAGAAGTCCCATTCAGGCACAGAGAGGTTTCCTTCAAGCACCTCCTCTTTGGAAGCTCCTGGATCTGCATGAACAAGATGCGACTTTGGAAGGTCTGCATTCCTCAGGTCGGTTCTTCAAACTGTTTTCATGTTCAACACTTCAATACAGTGGGAAAAAAAATATATTTTTATTTTTTTAACTGCTGTAGTGTAACTTTTTTAAAACTGTCGCACTAAAATGGATCCTTGTCTGCATTTTATTATTTTATGCCTTGCCATATTTTAGCCTCTTCCAATGTCAATGCCTCTCCCAACAGTTTTTAAGTATAATTTAATAATGGGACCATATTGATTTATGTAGGGTTTGGTTGATGTGTAATTATCAGGTTCTGTTTTGCCAGTTATTATTTTTCCGTCCTGTGGGTTGGATCAAAGTGTTACCAAATATGACAGTTGAGTGATAAAATCCTCTAATGACTGGATGAGTGACTGTTAGCACAGCCAGTAGCACTGACAGTTAGTGGAAAGACAGGCATGGGGCCCTCTGAACTGAAAAGACAAAACATAAAACAGAGCCATTATACAGCTGCAGAAATTCTAATAGAATGGACATAAATTATTTGTTCTACATTTTGTCCCTCTAAGCTTATTCTCATATAGCTGATTGCTCCTTCCTGTGTTTCCAAAAAGGCAACCGTAAAAGCAAATAACCCTTCTTTTCACAGTAGACAAGCAATGATCTGCTTACCTCCATTTTTATGAATGAAATAATAGCTGGAAGTAAATCTGAGCTCGTCTCCATTCCTTGGAAAGATCCTGTCCTTCACCTGGAGTGGTCCTCTCCGTACTAGTGAGCAGCGTGCACGATCAGACAGCTGCTTTGGCCAGAGTGCCGGGTCATCCTCAAGAAGTTTACTGCACTACTAGCTGATTGGACTTTTCCAGTCTGGTGGAACGGCATCATTATCACAGCCTGGCTGGTTAATATCGGATCTCTCTCTGTTACAGCACATCCCTGTCTCATTCACACATAAAACACAGTATAAGGCCAGTGGTTAAAGGTAAGTATATTCACTCAATTGCTAAAGTAGAAATTTGAGGATTTCATGCAACTTCACTTTTGGCTACGTCAATGTAACTCAGGGGAAAATACTGCAATTTCTACTCTACTACTAAACCTATTTATATTGCTAGTTACATATTGCAACACCTTCAGAAATGAAATAAATTGAACTTTATTGATCTCACAGTGGAGAAATTAGCTCTCTGCATTTAACCCTTATGCCCTTTGGGAGCAGTGGGCTGCCACTGTGTGGCGCCCGGGGAGCAGTGTGGACATAAGGGTCTTACTCAGGTACTTGCAACCTTCTCAGAGCACAAACGCTCTGCTCTAACCCACTATGCCAACACTCCCCCAAAAAAACCTTGTACCCCTAAAATGATGATTTAATGTTTACCATTTGTTAATAACTAAACAAGTCTTTCTTTTGAGGGTTTTTTTCTTAGGCCAGAACTATTTAAAAAAAATCATCTTTGGCTGGAAAATGAATTATTACAAAAAACAAACGATGCATATCACAGGAAAGACCAGGGATGTACTGTGATCCTTAACATCCACTGCAGCTGTACAGAATAACAAACATTACAGCAATGTTGATACAAAGCTGCAATGCAGAGAGGCTGTTAATAATTTGGTTTTTTTTATGTGTAACTTAATAATTTCATTGCTAAACACCCTTTCAAAACCATTTGTTAAACTTATGGGTGCCTTTATAAAGGACACACAGAAGCCTGAGGTTTTCCTAAAATTCAACAAGAACCCCTCTTTCCCACACACACAAAAAACAAAACAAAAAACCCTAAATAATATCAATTAAATTCAAAACCTAATTTTAAAATGAGGTGAATAAATATTTATCAATATAAGGGGAAGACCCCTTCAATGGTTTAATTCAAATACTTTATTCAAAATATTAACACATATATCAGTGACACATTATTGCACAAAAGATTAAAATCTGGATTATTCCCACATCGATTAGCAACTTAAATTAATTAGTTCCAAATTAATTTTCAACATATAAATTAGAAATAAGTATTAGTATTAGGATTAGTTACACAAGGATTTGGAATTAACAATTCATAATGCATGACACATCAACCGATGAATCAGTGGGTGGATGACAGATGTGTTCGTAAAAATCCTTCCATAGACACAACTTGTCCTGGATTAACGGCGCACTTAGCCTGCTGAAACATAGACAACAAAGGAATACTAATGCAGAAGCAAAACCTTTAGAACATGACAAAAAGCAAAACCCAAAGACTACATCGTGTTGCGTTAGCTTGCTGCTAACCCACCTACAGGTAGCCAAAATCAGAGCTCCAAAGATTGCCCTGCCTCATGTGAACTTTGACCTGTAATGTGTGTATCCGATTAATCTGATTAATTGCGGATCAACAGTTATGCAGTTCTTGGAAACAGGCTTTGTGAAAGAAAAAGGAAGAGTCAAAGAAAGCGAAACACAGAGGGAAATTAAACTCTTGCATCACATTGCAAAGAGGAGTTTAGAGAAGTCGTCCGCTATAAAACAGGAGCATGAGAGTGTCAGCAGTCCAGACTCCAATCAGACACCAAGGAGGACTGAACCTGAAGCCTTCTGAAGCCACAACATGAAGTCT